GAATTGTTTAGTGAGAAACTAGAATGCAATTCATTAGGGATGACTCTCCTCTACTGAATCTGACTGTTTGGCAGGACTTCTGCTGTGGAGGTCATAAATCAAAAGCAATACATCTATGATTGAGCCTAACAAGAAGAGATTTTGAAAGTGATGGATTACACTGCTGCTTAGCACCCTGCCTTTGGTTCTGGACTTTCACATCTTCCTCTGCCTTTCTTTTTTTCGGACAACAGTACAACAGGAAGTCTTACAAGTAAAATGTTCTGTGTGAAACTGCTTTACATTAAATCAAAGCCTCTTGCTCCTTATTCATACTCCTAGGATGAGTTAAGGAGCCAATCTACCTGGTCACTGTTCATTTAGTTACACACAGAGATGCAGACATACATACACCCATCCACCCAACTTGCAGCATTCAGATTTGTGTTCTCCTGCTGACAATGGTAATCTAGGGCTAGATTAGACAAGCAGATAGGTTAGAAATCACAATTGAATATGAATACAGATGATACCAATCTTTGCTCTATTGGTTCCCCTACACATTTTGCAGATATGATTTTTTTTTTCTTTTTCTGTTAACCCCCATCTGTGAATGCATAGAGGACTGGCAAAGGTGTATAAATTTGAGAAGCTGTAGTTTTAAACTGTTACATCAAATTTTTCTTCTTGCTTTGTCTTTAAAACTGTTGACATATATTATGCTTTCAAAGTCTTTTAGTAATGTATTAATAGAACTAACACCTTTTTCATTATTATTGGTATTGCTAGTGCTTGTATTACAACAGTGGGTACAATTTCTTCTTAGTAACCAAGGTATTATTAGGCAAGGCACACTACAACCTCAAAAGAGAAGATAGTCCAATTCAAATTTAATCTAAAGAAAAAACTTTTCATTTCTGGAAAATAATCGCCAGTTATTCCTGTCATGTAATCCAACATGTCTTAGACCTCTTCTGATCCTTGTTGAAGCTTGAGCTATGTTGTTAAAAAGGTCTTTCATAAGCTGCTCCTGTCACTACAAGGCTGGACAGGGCTTCGAGCACCCTGGTCTAGAGGAAGGTGCCCCTGCCCATGGCAGGGGGAATGGAACGAGGTGGTCTTTAGGTCCCTTCCAACCCAAACCATTCTATGATTCTGTGATAAAATACAGGTTTGTTTATCTTTCCTAGCAAGATAAATGCACAGTTCTCAATCATAGGGCTTGAAGAAACTTGAAGTGTCTCAGAAAAGCAACACATGTAAGTACGCAGAAATAGACCTGTGAGAAACTTTGGGGTTTAGGTACTTTAAATTTCTCTTTTTCTAGCACTTCTTTTTCTGATCTAATTAATTAATCCTAAACAAAGCCACTGTTGTTTAGATATTTCCCAGTGCAGCTGTATCCATGTTATCCCACTGACACAAGGTACAATTATCCATAAATGATATTATATGTAAAGGTCTTTTGATTTCCTGAATAGTACCTCTCTGAAATTGTCAGAAATCATCTCACTTTGTACCAGCACTGCTGCAATTGCTGTGGGAGTGCACAAATCAAGCTGCAACAATCTCTGTTCCAAATAGTAGTTGCAGATTGCCAACAAGGAACTAAAAATAACATCTTTTTGTGCAGATGTAACATGAAGGGGAGGTGAGAAAAAGTTGTTTGGTTTTTTTAAATTGGACTAAATACATAAAAAAAAGGTTTCTGTGGTATTAACCCAATGCTGTGCTTGGAAGACTTAAACCAAGGTAAAGAATTACCTTGATCTAGCTTAGCCTACAATGTAGATTAATATCTTGCTGACACTGTTGCTGAACTAGGCAAAACACTCCTAGCATAGATTATTTTAGCAGAACTGCGCTTTATAGTGTATAATTAATTCCAGCTATTCCCTTCAGCCTTCCAAGAGGTAAAAGGAGCAAGAAATGTAGCTACAGGGTGTTTCTGCCCGCAGAATAATATCACTGAGAGCATAGCCTTTTGTAGCTCTAACTCGGACATGTAGACTAACAGAAGTTTCTGTTGTAGACACCATGCAAGAAAGAGCTTCTCAACAATTCTCACTTAGGACCTTTTAACTCTCTCTCAAGAAAATATTGGTTTCTTCTAACAGTAGCTTCAAAGGAATAGGTAATTTGTAGCTTTCAAATGGAAAACTCCTCCTTTCTAGAATATACGAGAGCTTCCTATTGACTTTTTTTTCTTTCGATTCCACAAAAAGGGTCAGTCTTTTCTTCTCCTTTATCTTTGCAAGAGACCCTCACAGGTTACAGGGGAACCACATTGCCTACAGTTTGCCTTATGGGATCACAGCAAATAATAGATGGTTTCACCAAGCCCAGCTTAGCGTTCCTATAACAAGTTTTTTCACAGTGTTAAAGCCTCTGCGTACATTTTCTTTCTGCTCAAAGCAGAACTCTTGTGAAGCTACTCCTTGTTCTGTGTGCTAGGGGCTCCCTGCATAGTATGGGAGGAAAATATTCATGAGATGTTACGCTACAAAGGAAGGTAGGGAACCCTCTCTCTCTCTCTCTCTCTCTGTTATTTTGATTTGCCTTTTCCCCAGTATGCAGAAAATTAATATTCATAGATAATAGTGGGGATGGAATTAACAATCTTTTTAAATAGAAGAAACTCTATGAATGCCAAAGTGTTTTGCTCTGCAGCAAAGCCCATGTTTTTGCATGTTCTCCAGAAGCTGTTTGATGTGAGATATAGGTAGCAAAAGATAAGAACCCCTAATAACTTTTCTGGGTTGAGAGTCCTACCTGACAGAAATCACTACACAATCATAGACTTTCTCTTACTATTCCTCTTTTTCCTGAAGTATCTTTCATTCCAACTTGCATGATTATTAAGGCCCAGCAACAGGAATGAGAAGAAACTCATAGCACTATATATATATATATACATTATATATATATATATATAATGCTACCTGAGCAGACTTAAGTACTGTGAAAGACTTCAGTGTATATCTCCTTAGACTTGGAATACCTGTATGGAATTAGTCCTTTCAAGGTACAGTAATTAAAGTAATGTATTCTCTTCAAGATAATATCTAAGCTACTCTACATAAAGCATATATAAATGCATATTTTTTTTACATTTGAGTCAGCATATTCACGTGATAAAATGAACATGCTTCTAACCATAATAGATATATATTAAAATGTATGGGCTTATTCTTTAATTAGTCTACTGTAATTGCCTGAAACCATACAGAAAACAGTGTCTTGTCTTACTCTCTTTTTTTTCTGTTCACTAATCATTAATAAAAAGAAGTGAACAATAAAATTTATTTGTTTTAAATTGCCAAACTAGTAGATACCTGCTTAGTAGGAAACTAGACACAAGCTGGTACAGCAAAACCACTGTAACTAAAGCATTTTGGAAATCTCTACAAGTTACCAAAGACTAGTTTTCAAACCCAAAAATATTTAGCTTCAATCTACCTATAAATGACTAGGAATGAGAGCCTCCTTTTAGAGGCTTTCTAATGACATAATTTTTCTTTTCAGGTAAGGTAATATGAGATTAAATTAATACTTAGAAACTCAGGACTATGAATAATGTGCTTTCAAGCAGAATGAGGGAATGTTTATTTGGGGTTTTTTTTAGCTAGCAAATGGTGGATACTTAAAGGTTTGTAAAATTGAGATGGACTGGTTACTAGAATTTACTTGATGTATAGTAAATGTTTATCAGTTTTCAAGGTGAATGATATCTTCTAGATTGTGCTATTTTACAAGATCGTTGGCACTGATATATTCTATGGGAAAATGGTGTTGGTGCCTTGCTAAACTTGACTTGCATCAGTGAAATTGCTCTAAATGCTTACAAACAAATCATAGCAAGAATACAATAAAATCTTTTTTCTTTTAAACCTCTTGTTAGGGAACACAGATGTTATTGCGAGGGAAAGACTTGAAGCACCTGTTCATTTTGCCCTTCAGTTTTGAATTGCATTTGATGCTGCAGTTTCTAATAGTTATCTTGATAGTCCAAATAATCACTCAGATGAAAAAGATGATAGCAACAGTAACCAATGCATAGCAGGTAATGGACATAATGGAATAATTAGGGATTAGCAGACAATCCCTTAATATTTGCAGCCGACTCCTATGCATGCCAAACTCACACTTGATCTCCATTTTCCTATATCATTCAATTTTTACCCTTAGGCCTTCATTTCCTATAGTTCTACTCCATTAAGTAGACCATCCTGGAATAGCCAGTTCCATTTGTCAATCTTTTGTTCTGGTCCAAGGGTAATGTTTCTCACGTCCTTCTTCCTTTTGTGTCTTCAGCGAAGTTTATAATTCCATATCATACATTGGTCCAGAATTAGACATGTGATTAAACTGTAAAATGTAACTAATTTTGAGCACTAAATAAGACAACTTGTTTCATCTTCCTTTCTGGACTAGGTTGGGAGTTATACTTAGCCCAGTCAAACTTTTGCTTACAGAAAATTAATTTGGTTTTTGTAGCATATTGCATAGTATTTTTCTTTTTTTCACAGGCTGATATATAAGGGTTTAGACCTAAGGGACCTAAGCACTGCATTGTTTGGTATAAACTTTTGAGGCTCCAAATAAAATTTAATCCAGGAATTTTAGGACTCTTGGAACACTGGGATTAGATTTTATTTTGAAAACAAAGCTGGGAAGAGCACTGAACAAGTGGGAATTTGCTGCTTTGTCCCTTCTGAAATGCAGCCAGAGGAAGCATTGCTGCTGTAGTATTTTTGTACAATAATTCTTTGGCTGAGCACTTCCCCAGGATGTGTGGAATATAATTACCACTTGTCTTTGAGAAGAATCACAGTCAGTTCTTCACCTGTGGCAGCACTTTTAACCTCCAGCTAATTCCAAGCTCTGGGAAAAGGAGCTGTGCTTACTGGGCATTCTGGTGTCTCAGGAAAAGTTCATGGAGAGCTTATGGAAGTCCTTCAATTTATTGCCTAGTGATCTCCGAGCAAGAGAAAGTTCCAGGTTCTGCTCCCTACTCTCTGGGCAGTTCCGTGTGTTTTGGATACACATAATCACTAGATAAAATACAGAAATAAACATCCCAGGTCATAGGAACCCATGCAGGGAGTTTCCAAATCTCTAATCTTCCGGCACCCTTTGGTAAGATGCCTTGTTTTATTTAGGATACAGATACTGGTCTTTTAGAAGACAAATAAGTTTTGACTTCCTTGTTGCTGTTTAATTTGTCCTTTAGCCATCATGCTGAGGAGGTATGTGCTGCTAATGAAACACTTATGTGGAACTGTCTTTACAAAACCATCTCCCTGGACATCTTTGAGCCGTAGACTGAGTGGTAGTCTGGGATGACAGCAATAAATTTGTGCTATACTGCTTCACTGATCTACCCTTTGGAGAACACTTCTCTAGGGCTCTCTTAAAAGCCATCACACGTTTCTGCATCCCCATTACATTCTGGAAGTGATACAGTAACGTGGCTGCTTCACACCAGTGTGAGATGGACACCAGTGCCTGATGCACGCTGCTGTAATGCATTTACTCCTTGTATGTTTGCATAGTTACAAGGGTTATGGCTGATTTTTTGGAAGAAATTCATTGTATCACGATCCTCAGTGTTTGTTACAATAAATAAAACACTGTTCTGGTGTCACCTTGGGGGGTTCACACTTTGCCGTGCCTCTGTCAGGGCGTCCCGGAGCTGGTTTGGGGGGATGGGGGAAAACCCGGACTGGATTTTCTGCTGGAGTACAGAATGGGGGAAAACACGGACTGGTTTTTTGTCCAGAGTACGGACTGGATTTTCCTGGAGTATGGAATAGGGGAAAACCCGGACTGGATTTCCAAAAAAAAAGAAAAAAAAAGAATGATTGGATTTGATGATCTCAGAGGTTCTTTCCAACCCAGCTGCTTCTATGATTCTATGATTCCATAGCTGCAAATCAGCTATGCTGTAGCACATCCTATTAAAGAAGTAATTCAAAATGTAGAGGCATAAATGAGAACTCAGTGTCTGAGTTTCTGGGAAGACTCTGACACACCTCAATTGTATCATTAAATTACAATTACTTTATTAGTCACATTAGCTTTCATTTGAATTAGTTCTGGAAAAGGAAAGGGAGAATAATTATTTGAGTTTTTTCTTTTTTTTTTTCCCCTGAAGAATGGAGAGATTTCTAAGGGAAGACTTTTTTTAAAAAATTCATTCTGCATACACCTATAGTGATACTATAGGAGTTATTCAACGCAAGTATTTAGGGATAGTAAAAATATACATTCTCCAACTGTGTCAGTGGTATAAATAACAAATCCCAAAAATGTAAAGATAATGTTAACTACTGTAAATTCCTAGGCAATATTTTATAAAACAGAATTAATTTGGTGCAAGTTCCAGTGGTCTTCATGTGATTTTTTTCAAAGTCGTGCTTGCTGCTGAGAGTTCAACTTGCAAGGAGACCTCTTGGAGCAAGCATTATTCCCAAGAATATGTTCCTTTTTCAAAGAAATATGAGTGCACAAGCAGAGTAGTTGCCAGGGAAGGAGGTGCTGCTTCTGTGAGTGTTATCAGTTCATCTCATGAGATCTGCTTCCACTGCTCAGGATCATGGAGGGGCTGGTTAGTCCAGCTGCTCCTGTGGCACCCGCAGTGGGAAGGACCCTTCCTGCCCCAGAGAAGAACTTGGGCCAAACTACTGGTTCACAGGAGAACACACCCAGGCAATTTGGCAGGCACTGCACATTCTTTTCCAAAAAACCACTTTCGTTCAATCCAGTGGTTATTTCCACAATTAAACCATGGTTGCCTGGTTAGGAGGTAATAAAAAAAACCCTCACGGTATTGTTTGAAAACTATTTCCAAATTAAAGAGGCATGTTGTCCTTCAGCACATAGTCCCTTAGCACCTGTGTAAAATACATTATTTGATCTTAAAGTAAGTTAAGGATCATGGGCATTTTCAGGCTCCTGAACTGAAATTGTTGATACAAATGGTATGTCATCAGATGTTTATCAGAACATTTTAAATCCTTCCTTAAGGCCAGGATACACATGCACAATTAATGTATCACTAGGGCAGAACACAAAGAAGAAAACAGTCCCACAGATGGTTATGTGCTTTAATACAGGTCTCACTCTTCTAAGCTCCTCTGTTTCAGTTACATTTGCTAGGACTGCATTAGATGAGCAAGCTGTTGCTTCTTTTACCCCAACTGCTATTGCTGCTGTTTTGTAGCCAGATTTTACCAGTATCAGTTCAGAATCTCCTGGGAAAACAACACGTTAAAGTATGACTGGTGTATTGATAAAGCAATATTGTATAAAATACATAATTTACACTAGTTGTGCTCTCTCTATTCTATTCTATTATGCAAAAGTATAAAATGCTAAAGGACTATTTTCAGTGTTTTGGTTTTACAACGGTGAAAGACATTAATCCTTCAACAATGATAAATGGTGTAGTCAATTCAGTTCATTCTAATTTAGACCAATTTAGCAAGGATGAGAATTTGGAATGTATTTTATGGTTACTGGTATACTGTTTGCAAGAAGTAAATGGTTTACAGGTGCATTTATTCAGATGAGTATGGCATACTGATGGCTGTAACATAGATCTTAGACTAATTCTGACCAAGATAGTATTCTAGTCTCAGATTAAAACATGAAATAAGACTGATGAGGTTTATTGTTTCTAAAGTACAAAATGGCATTTTGTAGCAACCTATTGGTAAGGAAGCTCTAAAAATTGTGAAGGGTTAGAAAAAGAATAGTAATGTACATGCATAAGGAAGAAACATTATTCTTTCTATAGGGATGAGATATCTCTTATTTATTTACCAAAACAGTCTGCAGTAGTTAAAATGCAGATCAAAAATGGAAGCCAGGTGTGAAGTGACAGATATGTGCAAATGCCAAATGTACACTTAAGGCTGTCAGCTTTGGAATCACAAGGGCTGACAGGGTACATTAAAAATATTTCAAAAATCTTGAAAGTTTAAAAAAAGATATTAAAAATATCAGTTTCCTAACAAAATACTGGCCACGATGCACAAAATAATAAGTAAACAAGTGACTTTACCGAAAACATGATAATATTGCTACAGCAAAAACATCTTTATCTAGGAGGTCACTGTCTTTTATATCAGCTGAAGGAGAAAAGTTAAATGTGTCAAAATGTTTATAAATGTGAGGGGGGGAGGATTTGTCCATTTGTTGAAAAGTTTTGTTGTCTTCAGCTTGTTGGTAGCTAATAGGTTATTCAAACTGTGACCAAATTGAAACTTCTTGATTTCAGAGTTAAGAAAATCCAAAGGTTGGGCTAGTTTCAGATTTAGTGAACTGTGTCTTACAAGGAAAGCTATTTCTGGCATGATGTCTTAGACTTACTTGTAAATATATCCTTGTACAAAATGGGGCTGCTGTTCATGTTACCGTTTTTCTTTGTGCAATCTGGCCACGTAAATCTCCTGAAACAGAATGCTTTTCTGGATTGGATCCCAGAGCATAAAGACACTAAGGGAACAGTAATAATCACAGTGACGCCTCACAGCAGTAACAGAAACACTTCTATCAGCAGCAACAGGATAAGTTGGGAAAAAATGAGATGTTATTAGTGCAATTGAGAGTGTATATCATCAGAGTCATCTTTTACTCCTCTCAGCCACATCAGTGCAGAAGAGGACATATTTTTCATGCTCTAATAAAACTGGATTCACATCCTGGAGAGGGGATAAGAGAAGGATACTCTTTAATGGAAAACCCAAATGCATCAGTGAAACATTGCTGATGTATTAAAAATAGTTAATGGTCCAGATTACAGTTCTCCTGAATTTCTTCATTCAGCTAAGCTGGCTGCTTTCTCGTGCCCTTGAGAAACCTTGCAGTTTCCCAGAGCACAGCATTCTCGTAAAGAGGAAAAGATCACTGCTGAAAACTTGGGTTATGTGTAGCAGCAACACACTATTACAGGTTTTCTAAATTCTCAGTGTCAGTTCTTATGGCCAGGTGTGCACTTGCCCCCTCCTTGGGCCTCACCCACCCTTGCCCATGGGCCCAACAGACCCTTTCAGCCCAGCCTGGGGTGGTCCATCCCAGCCTGAGCAGCACTGGGGGAATTCCAGCCTCTCCCTTGCCGTATCTGATGCTGCCCCTGACCAGAGTGGGGGAACCCAGGACCTCTTTCATCTCTTGCTGTGCCTGTGGCCATTACCTGTCCCCTCTCTGCTCACTGTGTTCAGACCCTGCAGGGCTGTACCCAGTAGAGGAGAGCAGAGACAGTCCTGGTGCCAGGCTTGGCTCCTGGCTCGTCGCCTGCTCAGGGAGCAGCCCCGTTCTTTCTGTGCCAGGATAATGCAGAACCCCAAAGAGCATTGTAGGCAAACTAGGCTGCTTTTTAAAGACAGGATTATCAGAAGGCTTTCCCTTTTCCCTTTTTCCTCTTTCTGTGGTGGCTTCAGTCAGTGGAAAGTAAAGTCTTCTGAACATTCTTGAAAATCCCATCTTAAATAAAAGTCTTGTTTCTAGTTTGGGAGGAAGAGAGCTAATAGGTTCTGAGAACTAAAGGATGATAATAATAATTAGAGTTCTCTATTGTCAATAGTTTGCCTTTTTTTGCCTTTCAGCATGACATCCTGTAGTCTTTGAGGTTATCCTGTAGTCTTTGAGGTTTTTATTGTGGCACTCCATAAAACATGCATACAGTGTGGAAACTGATACTCACATAAGGGAAGTAATCTCATAAAGTCATAGAAAAGAGCAGCTTCAAAACTGGGAATAGAAATGCCCTCGTTCTGTCTTCTGAAAAGAAATTTTCATGAAAGAAGTTACATTAGTTCTTGGAAATTTCTTCTTCAAAATTTTTATGAAAAATTTCCTTATCAGGAAATACACTGCTGCTGTTGCTAAAGCTTCCACTGGGTTAAAGAAATCAAGACCTAAGCAAAATGTTAGATAATTTTCTTACTAATTCTGTCTTTCTGTTTCTCTCTTTGGTTCAACTCTTGTTTTCAATTCTCCTTTTCCACTGAATGACAAGGACATAAGGGCAGAGAAGACACACCATGCAGGTCTATATCTTAATTATTCAGTGCAGTGCAAGAGTACTCTGTTGCTTTGCTAAAGAATTGCAAGTTTCTGTATTCTCCACCTTCTCCATCTTGCTCTCAGAACAACTAAGACGTCCTTTTCCTTGAAGTCATTAATCCAAGTTGGAATGATTAGCATTACCAAACTGCAAATATTATCAAAAATAAGGTTGAAAGGCTCAGGAAATCAATGATGCAATCCTCCCAAAATTAATTTAAAAAATGAGAATAGTGACAGGTTAATCTTGTAATTTGAAATTTCCTGTGATTAAAGTTTCTATCTCTTTCTGCTGCTCAGATATCCTTACAAGAGAAAGCAGTTTCCTAAAATGCAGTCTATACTTTTATTTCTTACCTGACATATTATGAAGAAAAGATTATTCCACTTTTTCTTAGCAGCAGTTTATATATATATATATATATATATATATATATTCCTTTTTTCTTATTGTGTTCAATATTAATCAATCTCATGCCTTTTAATCTCCCTAAGTAAAAATTTCTGGGCTACTGATCACTTCTCATGACTCTCTTCTGAGCTTGCCTTTTGATCCATGTCTCTAAACTACAGTGTCCCAGTTCAACTACAGTATTCCAGCTGAGGTCTTTTTGGTGCTGTCTGATGCATTAAGTAAGCTGTTTTTCATGGAATCCTCCTCCACAACCCTGCTGAAATCACATTGAGATGTTCTTTTTGGATAAAATGAAGATGATGACAGCTTACAAGACAGCATCATCGATTGTATTACCAAACATTATGCCAAACCTTTGAAAAAAAAAGAAAGTTACCTGCTTCGGGCATGGTTCTCAAAGAAGTTGTCCTCTTTCTCTAATAGTTATTATGGTACCAGCAATGAAATAAGGATGTGATAATCTCATCCTTCCCAAAGCTCTGCAGTCAATCCCATTCAAATCCAATCCTGTTATAACAATTGCAAGTCTCAGTGGTCATACCTCTGTGTCTCTTTAAATGCTCAGTGGCTTTGTACTTGTTAGCTGAAAAGGTCTACTAAACACTTATATGTTTCTGGTAAAAAATTATCATGTTTGTAAACACACACACACACACACACCCCCGCCCCAGCGCTCAAAGAGCACAAGAACAAACGTCTCACAGCTCTTTGGTAAGCTTCTGTTATGATAAAATAAAGGACTTGATGTTATTTCACTTCTAATAAAAACTTGTCATCTAATGTGACAGCACAAATAGCTATCACTGAACAGTCAAAGAGAACAGCTCCCAAATGGACCATAGTGTTTAGACAAACAGTTTGGCTGATTCTATATGTAGAAATGAAAATGAGAGTTAAGTCAGAGTTTTGTAGACAAATGTCTAGCAGAATTTAAAAAGAATCTAAACTGATTGTTCAACCTTTTCTGCTCAGTAGGATCCACTGTATCAAAGAAAGGGATAGCTGCCTTCAGCTTTCAGAAATCAGATAGTGGATATAGCAAAAACAAAGCGTTTTCAAAAGGTGTTCAAGTAGAGGGCTTACCGCAAAAATAAGGAGAATTTTGCAAGGAGGAATTTAGAAAATGAATAATCACTAAGCTTGAGACAACATCTGGACCTATATGATACAATCAACCTTACTGCAAAGGCCTATATAAAGCCTGCTGGATTTAGGATTCCTCTGAATAGTAAATAGGAGTGGAAGGGAACCTGTTAAACTGAGGAACAAACTCTTCACCGTTAAGAAACAGCTCTTTTTCTTTCTTGATTTGACCCTAAACAGGGCAAGGATTTGGCAAGGGAAATTTAGAAGTTGTTCTAGTGGAAAAAGTCTGATAGATTTTTATTCTTTTGTATCTCAAGAGCTAAAAATTAGGCTGAAGCAATTGATGTTACTCCAGTTACTACAAAGATGTTAATTTAATAATTGCTTTACTTTTTTCCTTGTAATTAATCTGAATTACAGAGCTTTTCTATGTACAACTCCACCCTTTGCCGTGAAAGTGCTTTCTGCACTTTACTAACTAGTGTGCCCAGCTCTGTAAGCAGAGTTTGTACACTTTCACGTGGTGGTTGAATAATTAATAAAACTAGGTTTCTCTGAAAGCTCTGTTCAACAAGCTTTAACTGACTAGAACAAAAAATAAAAATGTTGAAAACAAGGCACTGACTTCAAACACAACCTTCAGCAGGAGCTAATGGTAAAGTTGTGCTCATCCAAAGGAAATAAAAAGGTCAGATTACAAAAAGGGCTAAATCACAACCTGCATATTGCTTTTGAGAGAATTTGCCAACTTACACTTAAGTTCATTCTCCATCTTTCTCTCTCAATATCTTTAACCTTACCTGTATCAGCAAAATTAAGTGATGGTCTTTTGAACTTTTAAAGTTATTATGTGACTGTCTTGCATGGGTGGTTTCTTCAGCATCATATGGAAGGATGGATCCAATCTTTTCCACCTCTCATGTAGTCCTTGGGACTGTGTTAGTTTTGACATGTAAAGAAGTGAAGCTGTGAAGAAGAGTGTAGATCAGATAAATCCATCAAGCATTATGCCTGTTCTTAGATGCTCTGTCTCTTTTGGAAGAAGTATACAGATAACTGAGATACAGTCAGATAAGGGAAATGGTCACGTTATCTGTATCTGTATGAACTGTCCAGAGATCACTCAGTAGTTGGACTATCGAATGTATGTACTATATAGCTTTCAATCAAATTAATCTGCTTTGCTATAACTTTGTTTTACTGCAAATAGTCATGCACAATAGCAAAGCCAGGAAAATTCATATTCTTACTTAAAGCTTCTAGAATACAATAGCAGAAAACTCCTTGAGTTGTCAAAATCTGCCTTTAAGATACTGCAGAAATAAGCTTGACTTTAATTTTTATTTTTTTTTTTCTCAATGCCAGCATAAAAAATGTGTATTTCTCTTCTTTCTGACATTCCTACAAAGGACATACAATTCAGCATAAAACATTTTATAATTTTTCTACATTTGTGCTTCCCAAATACTGGTATACTGACATGTAAGATACTGACATGAGAGTTGCAGGTCTACTTTTCTTTCTCATATACACAAAGAGCTAAAGTACTCAAAGAGTCTTGGCGAGTTTAAATCAACATAGCTCTGCAGGTGCTAATGAAGTTATGTTAATTTACACTAGCACAGGGTGTACTAAATCTCTCAAGAGCAAATGTTCCCTTTGATTACATTTTGCTGTTAGGTATAAGCGTTGCTCCATTCCAACAAAATCACTGCCTATTGTTCTTTCTAGATCCATATATTCCCTTTAAAGAAAGCAATCATTACATGGTTTTGAATGTTCCTTGCCTGTGTAAGTACTTATAAAGACACTTCTGAAATCACTTACACTTAATAGGCCATGAAAAGACACAAAGGAGCTAAAGAAACTCCAAGGTTGCATCAAATTATTTCAGATTTTTCAGATTGTACAGTTGTGCTAAGTCTCAATGAACACCTGTTAAGCTTCATAATGCCATGAAAACATCCTCCTGTCATACTGGGACCCAGAGTGTTGAATTTTGAATGCCAGAATACAATTACTCCTTTTCAGTGCTGGTTAAAAATGTCTCAGCTAATAACTGACAAAAGTAAAGCTACAGAAAATTCCTCAGCAGAATTACATGTAAATCTGTGGAAGCTCACATTTTTGATCATTAGGTATATTTTGCATAAGTCAGGGTAGTAAAAACATTTAGTTGAATTGTATGAAGTGAACTAAACATCATGACTAATGTTAAATTAAGAACACCAGCAGGGAAATAGTTGAGATAAAGAACTGCCGGAATTTAAGATAATATCAAGGAGTAATGACCTATGTATCAATTTCTTTATTAAAGTACTATGTGGGGCAAGGTCAGAATGAGGAAGATTGAGAAAGATTGACTTTACTTACATAAGTTTTGCATTCTAAACTGACAGGACAGAAGAGTCATGTATTAAAGGAGAAGTGGCAGAGACACGCTGCTTCCACCAACTTGTTAACAGGCAAAAGGTGAAACAGGAGGATGATGTGCTGAAGAGAAAATTAACCCAAATTTCATTGCCAGACCCTCAGTAGTAAACTGTACTTCACTTTCTGATGTAATACTCAAGTCAGTCTCTGTTGTCCTTGAGGGCAACCTGGATTAATCTTTACTCTTCATTGATCCTAAAGCTTCCGAAACCTGGCCATTGATACAATTTTCAATAGCCTCAGGTCTGTGTCTCACTGCAACCTCAGTGACAAGAAATCATTGACTTAAAACAATATTTGGGGCATGCCTCCTTCCTCTATTTTTTGCCCTTGGTACACTCTCTAAAAAAAGGGTTTAAACATTAGTGGTTGACAATTCTGTGTCCTCATTTCAAAGTCGTTATATGAGGAAACTTCCATCCTGTCTGCCTATTTTCTCAGAGATGTATGAAGAAGAAAAGGAAAGAATATTCAACATAATCAAGGTATAAAACTTATGTTCAAAAAACATGTGCAAGAAAGGAAGGGAGAAAAGAGAAAAAAGATGGAGTAAAGCTATTGAATGGTACTTGTATGGTATGTGTTTTTAGAGGATGAAGGAGTAAGAACCTGAAAAACAGAACATTTTCCTGAAATATGAGAAGATGTAATCCTAACATTTTCCAATTCTATAGCTGGATATAGAAGCTTACTAGAATTGTTATCCTCCTCCTAGGGTTAATGCTGCAGACCTAGTTTGCTTCAGCAGCTTTTCAACTGTATTCTTCTCTGCAATTAAAAAAAACAAACAAACAAAAAACTCACAAAAAATTAAGAAAAAATAACCTAATAATACACTCAATAAATAAATAGAATAACCTAATAAACCTCACTTTCACAGCTGTCTCTAGCATCTGTATGCAGAGTTTTCACCCACCACTGGAATGGACTGAAAGTGAGTGAAACCATACCAAATTGAAACCACAAGGATTTTTACACAAGGAAGAGGTAATCTTCTTCACTGGAATTTAGCCAGAACACAGAGGATATTAGACCATCATTTCACAACTGCTATGGGATTGTCAGTGGCAAAAGAAACTCTTTTTTGCATCATCCAAAGGATGACGTTGTTATAGAACAGCGACTCAAATCTGTCTTGCTCTCTTATTTAAGTAGTGACCTGGCTTGACCTCTTTTAGCGCAGGAGAATCTTAACAGGCTCACAGGCTCAGGTGAACTAGTCTGGCTGCAGGCTTGCTGCCAGACAAGAGACACTGAACCTTGTAAAGAAATCTATCTGGGATAATTGGAAGTCAAACTTTTCATGGAGAATTATTACAGTTTATTTTGGTCTCCATTTAAGTAGTTTGGTCAGATCAGCATTCCTGAGAGAGAAAAAGGATAAAGA